CAATGTATGATTAAGTTAAAAGAATCGTCTCATGAAATCATATGACCAAGTCAGTGAATCGTCTCATTGAATCTGATGTCAATGTCAAACCTTGAATGCGCTACACTCACTCATCATATGGTTTTCTTTAAGGTTAGTACTATAGTAAACTCACAGCATTGCAATGAAGCCTTTTCCCAGAATCAGTGCCAAGAGTCAGCAAAGACTATTTATTTTGGCAAGATTAGCATCTGGTTTGTTACTCATAGAATGTATTAATATATTTTCTAACTGTTATTGAGCAAAGCAAACATCTGAAAAATATAGTGTCTGAGAATATAAATGGAAATACACTCACAAAGGTTAAAAAGACCAAATCATTCTTGCAATTATCAAACACACTCCACTGACTAAAACATTTCCCCTGTAGTGGGGAGAGGAGAGGGTGGACGGACGGACGAAACGCGTAATAATTGTCACTTTCATTTTCCGTATTTCACTGAGTTGACTCTCCGGAGGGGTTTCAATCATTCTAAAATATCGAAAAACTATGACCGTACTCACTTCTAAGCCCTTCTGCTCTTTAGTTTGTTTTTTTGCCAATGTTTTGACAGGTCCCGTATTTAAGAGTCGCGGCCGCAAGTATGAAAAATTGCTACGAGCTGCCAAGCACTGCCAACCTAACCACGCTAAGAACCTAATTCAAAAAGATGTTTTGAATATTTCAAACAATAGTAATCGTGAATATATAGATAAACTCCCCCTGGGGGAGATTTAGGAGCCTTCCGGTGCGAAATTTTGAAACTATTTGTGCGGTAGTTGCTGAGAAACGTGAGTGAGTTACGGACACACAGACAGACAGACGCACGACCAGTCACTTTTTGGTACCCCCAAACACGGCATGGGCTCGCTATCGCTCGCCAATGAGCGAGGAGGCGCCTGGCCGGGGCGGGGCGGGGCGGGGCGGGCGGGGCGGGGCGGGGCGGGCGGGGCGGGGCGGGGCGGGGCGGGGCGGCATCTTTACGCACTTCAGTTTCATTACACGGCTGTCTGGCGGAGATGCACTTTGTCTTGGCGAGTCCCCGTTCGGCGCTCTGATTTAATTGGAACAATTTAATTCCGAGATTCCGATGGGTCCCCAGTCCGCCCGGCAGCCCTTAGTCCTTCCGCCGCGCCCGGCCGCCTCGCCGCCTCGCCGCCCCGTTTGTCAGCGCGAGCCGCCAGCAGCGCGCAGTGGGCCAGAAGACCGGTGGAGGCGGCCCAAACTCTAGGCGCGTTTTGAGCTCCAGAGTCGCTGAGTGGGATTCGAACCGAACGTCGTGTGACCCTGCCAATGGACTCCTCGTTCGGAGAGCAATCCATTGATGGGGTCACACGTTCGGTTCGAGTCCCATTTAGCGACTCTGGAGCCCAAAACGCATCTAGAGTTTTGGCCGCCTCCACCGGTCTTCTGGCCCACTGCGCGGCGGCGGACCCGGAAAAATGGAAACGGCGCACCGCGCAGTCCTTGCCTTCATCACCTCCTTGAAGGCTGTCATGGCATCAGCTTCTACGGCAAAAGTCGCTACGTCGCTCCTTCTCTCTCGCACACTTACGGGCAGCCGCGGGAGTGCGACAGAGACGGAGCGACGGCGTGGGCGTGCTTCGGGCGGTGCAGCGTGCCTCTGCATTTTTCATACCGCTTGGGGGCGGAATAAGAGTGCCGGTACACTGTGTGCCGCGGCACTGCAGTGCTTACTGAAGCGACTCACTCAGTCTATTGCTGTCTCGTTAGCGGATGCATTTCTGGCACCAAACTTAAAAGTCTGTATTAATGACAAAGTAGCTCGCAAATTAGCAATGGCCCAAACATCACTGGCATTTGCATTTTTCAGTTGGTTAGAGAATTTTCTATATTCAAGAACTATTCAAAGTAATCTGTCAGGTGGTGAGAAAAAAAACGGAAACCAGCAGTGAGTGCAGTGTTCCTCCTACTCGGGAAGTCGTAAAATCGGAGGTTGATTCCCCCCCCCCCCCTTTTTTTGGCACCCGATGAGGCTGTAACTTTGGTGGCGTGTGTCGGGCGTGTGTCGGCCGGGTGTCGGGCGTGTGTCGGCCGGGTGTCGGGCGTGTGTCGGCCGGGTGTCGGCCGGGTCTCGGGCGGGTGTCGGGCGGGTGTCGGCCGGGTGTCGGGCGTGTGTCGGCCGGGTGTCGGCCGGGTCTCGGGCGGGTGTCGGGCTCCGCGGAGCAGGCTGCCACGCCGCTCGGCCCGCTCGCGTCGGTTTGATGGACTTTGAAGCCCTCCCCGTTCCCGTTCGGTCGGTATACAGGCGCGAAAATTAACCCCCTCCCCCGCCTGCCGGCTCCCCCGGGGGCTCACTCCGGGAAATGAGTGAAATATGAGGCGGGCCGACGAGAGCGTGCCGTGCAGACTGAGAGTCCTGTCTCTCTCGCACCTGTAAGGAACGCCCCGTGAGTGCGAGAGAGACGGAGCGACGGAGACGACTCTCAGCCGCAAGCCTCCTCTTCGCCCCCGAGTCTCTTCGTGTCATACCGAATCCGCCGCCAACGTCTCGGGGCGCAGTGAATAAATATTCATCATAAACTTACTCATAACACTCGCATCTCATTCGCACTGAGCGCGCCCGCGCGCGCACACACATACACACACACACACCACACACACACACACACACACACACACACACACACCGTGCGGGGTCTCCATTCAAATCGAATCTCCGGGCGCCGTTTTCGGCGTGCGTTTCTATGCCGCCCGCATTATTCACCATCCGAATCTGAATGTGCCGCCAAAAGCGCGCGCTGCACACACAAAAGAGGTGCAGATTGCAATTCGCGGCACCGCCGCGGTGGCAGTGCCGCGGCAGTGCGCCGGCCGGCCGGAGCTGCGGCAAAACCTCTGCAGGCTGATTCCGAGAGTCGTTTTCGTCGCTCTGTCTCTCTCGCAACTACACGGGACGCCCCGCATAAGAGCGAGAGAGACAGAGCGACGAAAACGACTCTCGGAATCAGTCTGGTGGTGCGGGCCGCGACGATAAGCTTTACAGTGGAGTGGTAGGCCGTAACTCCGCGGCCCCGCTGCCCAGTTACAGCAGTTTTCCAGCGTGGGCGGACGTGAAACGTTTTTGTGATGCAAAGCCTCGGCATGTAACCGAGAGAGAGAGAGAGAGAGAGAGAGAGAGAGAGAGAGAGAGAGAGGAGACATTGATTGTCCGTGCGTCGACAGTGGGAATGATAATTTGGACGGAGCGGTCATTGTCCGACGCTATGCCTCCCTCTGTCGCGGTAACTGGTTGTGGCAAAAAAAAAATGTCGGTAAAAAATTTTGTTTCTCAGATTGTGGCTACAAGAAGCAGGCAGGCCTTCTGGTGTAGCACCCCTCGGTCTTCCGTGGCCGAGGCGTTGGACAGTGACGCGATGGCCGTGGTGAAGAAGGGGGCCGTTCTTGTGGAGGGCCGTGGCAGGGCGGTGGTGCCGGCGGCAGCACTCCAAATCCAGGGGCAAGTTTCCTCGCCACTGGAGTGGCGTCTTTTCCAAAGCGCCAAAATTTGGCGTTCCCATCCCTGGTTTCCGGATTCCTCGCCAAATCTTGGCGTTCCAGAGAGAGCGCCACAACTTGGCGCTCCATTGTCCAGAGGTCCATGGACCAACACGCCAAGATTTGGCGCTGCAAAGGGAACGCCAAAATTTGGCGTGAAAAGCACTTTAGACAAGGAACTACAAGTATATTAATAGACTCATTTTACAAGATTTTCTCTTTTAGACCACAAGTGTTTTGCTTCCATGATGAGGAGAGGAAAAGTACTGTATAAGAATTAGTACCTCAGGCAACATGGAGCAAAACATATGATTTGGTTTACGTGGTTTGTGATCTCTAGCATCCTTCGTTTGGCATGCGATTTCTGGCCCACTGGAAGGACTGGTACTCACCATTTAGGATGAAGCTGGCTGTGACAGGATCACTTGCTCTTGGTGTGGGATGAAGTTGTCTTGTCACTCAAGTTAATTTACAGTCCAAGATGATTTGAGCCAGCCCAGCCTAGGCTAGCTAGGCCCATGGCGACGCAGATCACCATGCAATTAGTCCTTTCAATTCACAACACTGGAAGACTTGTAGGATACCTCGAGCGCTCCCGAGCATTGGAAAAGTGGTAGAGCACGATGAATCATGACAGGAATAGCTGTCGGCTAGACAAACTGCACCGAAAAGTAACATTTTCGACGTTCTGATGATCAACTCTGCCGAGTCCATGCTCTACTGTCTTTGTCATTTGTTTTTGTTTCTGCTGGTGGCTTGGTTATTTGCCCTCACCTGTTGACTGCAAATACCATCATACCGAAGTGCGTACAGATCGCGCATGCGCATACTCGCAGTGCAGTGTCGTCAGACAGCGTCGGCTGCTTCGCTGTCGAAAAACAACAAACACGCAAACCGAGTGAGTCAAGAGGCTGGACTTCTCATTACGTTTTAAACTTGTTTGGTTCCCGCATTACAAAAAAAATTCCGCCTCTTACACGACATGTTCCTTTGCTTTCTGCATGACGGCCTGGCAGGCCGGTTCCGAGCAGTACTTTGGTCGCCTCGTCTCTCTCGCACTCCGGGTCTCTTTGTCCAGGAGCGAGTGAGATAGCAGTGTTTGGAATGTGCCTGGCGTCTTTAGATTTAGTCTCAACCATTGCATTTAGGTGCCTTTCATGTCATTGGTGCTTCTCGAGAACCCAATTGGAAACTAAATGCCTTGTTACAGAACAAATACTTTTCCCTATTCCGCTGTTCTGTTACAGATGCTGGTGTATCACCGAGAAAATAGTTGCCCCTTTTGTTCCTTCGAGCTTCTCCAGGTTCACCGTTCTCTGAGGTAATTAAAGTCTCTTTTACTTTTTTGTTTTCTTTGCTATTTACCTTACTTCAATATTAATACAAGTATTGTTTGTTGTCAGGGACCGACCCATACCATTCCACATTGGCTTTTACAAGGCATTCGCAGATTAGCAGGCTCCACTTCCATCAATGAAGCTTAGCTCCCTCTGCTGCGCGTACATTTTTCTGTCACATCTGTGGGACCTTCAAAGCATTCTGCTGTTTCAGAAGTCGTGTTTTGGTTGTAATTATAAATACCTTTATGAAGCCAGCTGATTGATTGAACCATCCCCAAACTTTTGTGTGATAGTCTATTTGTCTTGTTCACCCTATCGCATCGAAAGTCTCCTGATCTTGGATGTAAGTAAAATAAAATGAATAAACAGCACAGAAAAATATTCTTAGGAAAAATCATTTTATAACAAATTTATGGAACTCTCAACTTCACCCCACAAATCACACATCTCTTGAACATTTTAATAGGGGTTTAATTCAATTTTTGGAAAAGTAATCATAAATACAGTCATTTTGTGTCCATTACTAACTCAACACTTTGGCACTAGTTCATCCAACTGCTTGCGATTGCAGCAAATACAATTTTAATGGGTACACATGTGACAAGTAATTAAATATGTTCAGCAATCACAAGAAACGGGTCTTATTGTCTGTGTTAATTATTTTCTATGGAAACTTTTGCATTGGACACTTACATAGTTGGCTCCCACACTTTTAATGAATGGAAGATGGTGGTGATACACAAAGTCAGACAGCTTCATCACATTAAGCTGAAAAGGACCAACAACAAACCCAACCTTGAAAGCTTTGAGCTGTGCTTCATATGAAATTGTTACCATGTTCTTGAAAACAACAGCATTCTGATTGTCATGTCTATAAAATGCTACCACTTCTCCAAACACTGGCAAGGTCTCCTTAAAGTCACTGATAATTGCAGACCCTTTAGTGTACTTCACCCCACGAATCACACATCTCTTGAACACTTTAATAGGGGTGTTACTGGAAATGCCACCAAACACTCCACGTAGAAGCTCCTGATGAGTCACAGGCACAGCCTTCAGCAGCTTTTCCACAGATGCACCAAAGGAGTTATTTTCTCGCAGGAATGGCCCTTGAAGTCCTTTGGCACTTAACATCATGAGGGCTGCCTGATGTCTTTGGTGATTTTCAGCAAGAGTTCTTGGCAAATTTTTGACAGAACGCAGAGCCCTGTACAGCTTCTTAAAGTAAGAATGCTTTGATTCATACCTACAAAAAAAAAAAAAATTAAAAAAAATTAAGATGATTGTCATTTATAAATTAAAATTATTTGAAAGAATATACACACCTGAAGCACCAATGGTATCTTAATGGGCCAAAGAGAAGTATTTGGGATGCATAATGAGTTTCAAAATGCATTTTGGGTATTTCTTCACCCGGGTAAAGACGCTGAAACATCAAGTGATGCTCGTTGGTCATGGCACGAATTGTTTCCACATCAGTTACAGTGATTTCTCTGCTCATTTGGAGATCAAGTAGTTCAAGTCTCATGATGAAACATTTCAAGTTTTCTTCTGCACAAACAGATTCCATCTTCCCTGTCAGCATGTTCTTCTTTCTTAACACAAAGGGTAACATGAAAGCCAAACTTAAGGTTTCAGAGGCTGTCTGATGCAATCTTCTCCTATCAATGTGGTCTTTGTCAATTCTGGCTGGTTTGTTACAACCAAATTTCTTGCTGAATTTAGCAATCCTTTCATTGATTCTTGGCAAACTAATTTTCCCTCTCTCAAGAGCATGAGATATCAAGAGGCAAATCTCAAGAGACAAGGTGCCTTCAATTGTTGTGTGCATGAGGTCCTGGGGAAATACCTTTGTAACGTCACAGAGTGGAATATCCATAAACATACTTCTGCTATTGATACCGTAATGTTTAGATGGATCAATTGCATCCTTGTTGTCCTTTGTTCTTCTAAATGCTTCAACTTCTGCCACTTGCTTGGAATGTTCAAGATAGGATCTAGTAGGGAAGTCTGATTCTACAAAGCTTTTGTACATGTCTTCTGTTGAAACTAGGCACTGGCGGCAAAATTTTTCAGCAAAATGTGTCTCCTTGAACCCGCCTAGGCTGGCAGCAGCAGGGGGTCAGCAGAGTTGAATACGAGAATGCCATGGAAAAACGTTTCTTGGCCATTAATTTTCAAGTGCACGCCATTGGAGAGCTTCTGCATCCCTTCCACAAAGTTTGCCAATAGTTTGCTGTAACCATACTTCTTCAAAACTTTTGTTTTCACAACTCCAAGAAGAAATACTGCGTCTTCAGAAGAACGTAACTCAGAGTCAATGTTCAGTAAAGTCCAGTAAATGAGGGTTTCATTCTCTTCGCTGCTTTTGCTGCCAGCTGTATCAGTCATGCAGACACCATCACCATAAGTAGCAATTGCCAAAGTGTGGGGGTCTTTTAATACTACAGGATGGTTTTTATAGTAACAACCATCCAACGGTGAAGTAAACACCCCCTCTTTGACTGGTGGAGGGTTGCGCACACATTGAAGAATTTCTGGGCAGCTGAGCACCTGTTCCAGTGATGGAAGGAATGGGACCCAATATGCGTAGTCAACATCAACTTCCTTTGTCTCAGTTTCCTCGCACAATACTGTCTTTCTTGAAAACTTCTTTAACAGGGAAGACCAAACTATGTTCTGCCTTCAAAAAGGAGTCTATCTTATCATCAGAGTTTAGCTCTTCAAACAATGAAAATCCTCTAAAGCCATTAAGAACAGAGTTGATTTCAGAGGGGCTCATTGCTCCATTCTCTCCACATTTCCTGGTGCACCTTTCCTGCAAGCAAGATAGAGAAACAATTACTCTGCTACAAACGACATTTTAAGAACTGACTATTAAACTGTAGATACATACCTCAATAAGTTGTAGTACAAGATCTACTATCTCATCTACTCCCTTTATAACTGTGCGCACTACGGGTTGAGTTGTACATTTCAAGTGCTTGAGCCTGATTAACAGCTCCGCTGTTTTTAACTGTAGTATCTTCTCCATGCCACTGAAGACAAACTGCAAACTAAACCAAATAGTTAGGGCTGGCAGTAAAAGTACTCCAAAAGAGATACTTCACTCAAAAGACCACAGGGGAGAGGAACACGTTTCTAACCAACAACCCCACTGGAAGATACAAAGTTTAAACAGAAACAGACTTACAGGCAATAAAACTCGATATGGCATCACGAGCACTTCGTCAAAGAGAGTTGTGAAAGAAGTAACATAATGATTTGCGTCATTGTCTAAATCAAGCAACAGAAGATAAAATGCTTGGTGGCTTGCTCCGCTCCACTGTAACAACAACATCAACAGTTGCCAGAGTCGCCGCCTTTCCCACCGCCTTGCTCGCGGTCTCCGCTCCACCGGTCGTTGCAGCCAACGTTACGCTCTGTGTTTGAATCAAAAGAATCTTAGAGTTAAACACACCTCAAGTTCTAAAACGGATGCATCATTTGATTCTGTTTTGTATATTATCATTAAAAATTCCTATTATAACGAGATGTTTGAGAAAACACTCTATTTAAATAGGATATTCTTATTTTTACAGTTGGCACCTTGCTTGCCACCGAAATTCAATTTTCCCAGCGATTTGTCAATCCAGTCAAATTGATCACCTCATACTGTTTAACTAGTTTGAGATTTGATGAAGTGCGGCAATGGCAGCTATTACAGTTCTAATTCGAGTTGAGAACCGAGATATCATCCTGGAGTTAGAGGACAACTCCTATTTCACTCTGGAAAAGTCGTTTTTAGACCACTGTAAAAGTGACCCTGCTCTCACCAATCGTCTGAAGGTTTTCGCACCGATTTTTAAATCGAAAAATCCCATTTTTGGTAATTTTGTAGCAGAGCTAGTAAAACACCATGGACTTACTGACAAACAGCATATCATTGTCGATTGGTGTGCTTTAGAGATTCAGGTAAGCAAGCTGAGCTCACACTGCTCAGAGTAACTATGTATTCATTTTACTACAATTGTAAAAAGTAACAGAAGCAAGATATGTAGGAATTACCAGTAGAAGAATTCAAGTGTTTTATTCACAACATGAATTGTTTTGAGAATCTTTCATTAATTATTCTGTCTTTCGCTTCAGCCGACTGACATCAGGATTGGACAAAATGTCGCTCATTCATCTTGCAATAGGATAGCACCAAATGCAGCTGAAACTCTGTACGTATATTTACTCGATATTTCATTACTATTGTTTTTATAAAAGTGGAATTCCAGATTTGATTTAAACTTTTGGTATTTACAGGCCGTTGCGCACTGTATCTGATCCTAGCTTTGAAGCAGTGAAGGATTGGTACTCAATTGACGAATGGAGTAATTTGAGCTCAGAGGAGAGGATTAATGAGAAAAGTCGTCTCGAAAGATTCAAACTCCTCCAAAGCATGGGTAAGACAAAACTTAGTTTGAATGACTGTTGAAGCAGACTAACTTCTTCTTTTCTTTTATTTGTAGCATTTCTGCCGCAAGATGCAGTCTTTACCAAATGTTCGTCTACCGAAGATGTACCAAAGAAAGGACAGAAAAGTGGAGTGGTAAGAGTGAATTTTATAATTGGTGGATTTTGGAAACAGTAGCTACTGTTACTAGTTCTGTTACTGTAACATATATATTGACTAATATTGACTTATAATATTGACAGGCCAGCAGGGTTCGAAAAAATAAGACCACAGAGAATGCAGTAAGTTACCTATATTTTCCACTACTCAAGCTTTCAGTTGTAACATGTTTATCATTTCTCATGTCTCATGTAGGGCCCTACAAGAAAGTCCAGTCGGAAGAGAGTTTGTAGGATAGTTGATGAGGATGAGAATACCGAGAATGTTGATGATGACTTGCTTCTGAGCTCAGTACCAAAACCAAATTCTAGCAATGAAACTCCTCTTGCTTCCACATCTACCAACAGTACTCCAACTGATGAGGTAGTAAACTTTTTTTAATTCTTAGATAAATTACAAGAAGTTACTGTATTCTCTTATTACAGGGATTTATTGAGAGCCAAGTGCTACAGGATGATGAAGAAGATTTCCTGATTGAATTTATGCAAAAAGTGAGTATTATTATTAATATAGAGAACACAAATCATGAGGGTTTAGACTTTAAATTGGTGGTTTAATTGTGTTTTAGGAAGAACTGCTGGTAAGCCAAACATCAAACACAAATGAATCTGGTCCAAGGGAGGCTTCTTTTTCAGAGGAAATTCCAGTAAGTTAGAGATTTAGATAAACACAAAATTTTAACACAATACTTTGCCTCTAATAGCTTTGTTTACTTTAGGATATTCTGGAACCAAGCTGCAGTGCCGACTCAAACAAAGTAAGCAGTGAAAACCTTGCCCATTTTGACAACCAAATTTAAGCATTGAATGTTTCTCACAACTTTCCATTTCTTTTCCACCAGGAAAATATAGACCCTAAGATGCAAAAACCACCAAGAAAGAAGAGGGAAGAGGTATAACAGCAAAGTCAATTTTTTTTAACAAAAAAGATGTTGTAATTATCTTATTCTCTATGAATTTTGAATTACCACCAGTTATGAAAAGCTCTTTATTTGCAGCTGCCCAGAGAATTTGGGAAATATATAACAGAGTTTAATGCTATGCCGGATAATATAAGCGAGGAATTGCATAAGGCCATCACGCTGAACAAACACAATCCACGAACTCTTATGACTCTTATAAAGGAACACATAAGAGCTAAGATTGGGCTTAACCGTTATCCAAAATCTCATGAGTACAAACTTGTGTGTACTGCCTTGATTGCAAAATATCCAACATTAGCAGACACAGACAATCCAACAGGATATGTGAGCTTTTATAATGATCTATTATTTTACACTCATTTCACAGGAACAATTTAAAGTATCTGCTGATAATTATTTTCTTTCAGGAAGATTTAAAGTACAAAATAAGGAAATCTTTAAGTGGAGAGAGTCACAGGGAAAGACTGGCAGAATTTAGAAAGACCCTGACTGAGGAAACTTTGTCTCAAGCAACAACCTCCAACACGTAAGTTGATCTCCAATGAAAACTAAGAACCAACAATAGGTCTGTCACCTACAAATAGAATTGCATTTCCTACAGCGGATCAGCAGCCAACAGCGCAGTTCAAGAAGAAGTTGATGTCTATATTGACGAGTTAAAAAGAGGAGCAGTCACAGATTCAAGAACACTTTTCCTCATAAGAAAAACTTTAGGAAAGAGGCAAGAATTTTTAAATTTAAATAAAAACATGGACCTCTGCCGTCTAGAAGCTTTCATTAAGGAGTACCCCCATTACATGAGATCTGAAATGGTATGCAATCCTTTTAACTCCCTCTTCAAACAAAATCAATTTAAAAGCAATTAAATGTTTCTTCTTTAATTTCAGCTTCTTTATGAGTATTCACTCATGTTAAGTGAGACATCTCAAGGGAAAATTAAAGACTTAACACACTGCAAAGCAATGCAGCTCAAATGCTCAAGTTAGTAGGACTACACATTAACAACACAAACAATCAGGTAGAAACAATAAATTACCTGCAGGATAAACTTGTTCCTGAAAAGTTCAAAAAAGAATCAGTCATGAGCCTTTTCACAGTGAAACATGTAAGCAACTTTTTTGAACCTTTACTTACACACAGCTAAATTGTTTTTAATAAGTTAACTTTTAGTCCAGCTCATTACTAAAAAGTTTACTTGACTTTTTAACTGTAACTGACTTTTTTTCAGATCCAGGAAGTTCAAGAAGAAGTTGGTGCTCTTAGCACCACACAGCAGTACCATTCCCCCTGTGTATTGGTATTAGTTGACAATAGGGACAAAGATGGGAAGTTGTCTATTGTCAAATCATATCTGAAAATGAACAAAGGAACAATTAGTATAATTGGCCATACCACTTTGAAAACTGTGATTCTACAAGTAATGGCACCATACTTCCTGTTTGGATTAAATTATCCCCCTGCTTATGAGAATTTGTTAAGATTCTTTGAAAAATTTGTCCATGGCTTCTTCTGTGAATCAACTGAAAAAAGCAGAGCCAAAAAGGAATATAAAAAATTAATGGATGAACTAGTGCCAAAGTGTTGAGTTAGTAATGGACACAAAATGACTGTATTTATGATTACTTTTCCAAAAATTGAATTAAACCCCTATTAAAATGTTCAAGAGATGTGTGATTTGTGGGGTGAAGTTGAGAGTTCCATAAATTTGTTATAAAATGATTTTTCCTAAGAATATCTTTCTGTGCTGTTTATTCATTTTATTTTACTTACATCCAAGATCAGGAGACTTTCGATGCGATAGGGTGAACTATCACACAAAAGTTTGGGGATGGTTCAATCAATCAGCTGGCTTCATAAAGGTATTTATAATTACAACCAAAACACGACTTCTGAAACAGCAGAATGCTTTGAAGGTCCCACAGATGTGACAGAGAAATGTACGCGCAGCAGAGGGAGCTAAGCTTCATTGATGGAAGTGGAGCCTGCTAATCTGCGAATGCCTTGTAAAAGCCAATGTGGAATGGTATGGGTCGGTCCCTGACAACAAACAATACTTGTATTAATATTGAAGTAAGGTAAATAGCAAAGAAAACAAAAAAGTAAAAGAGACTTTAATTACCTCAGAGAACGGTGAACCTGGAGAAGCTCGAAGGAACAAAAGGGGCAACTATTCTCTCGGTGATACACCAGCATCTGTAACAGAACAGCGGAATAGGGAAAAGTATTTGTTCTGTAACAAGGCATTTAGTTTCCAATTGGGTTCTCGAGAAGCACCAATGACATGAAAGGCACCTAAATGCAATGGTTGAGACTAAATCTAAAGACGCCAGGCACATTCCAAACACTGCTATCTCACTCGCTCCTGGACAAAGAGACCCGGAGTGCGAGAGAGACGAGGCGACCAAAGTACTGCTCGGAACCGGCCTGCCAGGCCGTCATGCAGAAAGCAAAGGAACATGTCGTGTAAGAGGCGGAATTTTTTTTGTAATGCGGGAACCAAACAAGTTTAAAACGTAATGAGAAGTCCAGCCTCTTGACTCACTCGGTTTGCGTGTTTGTTGTTTTTCGACAGCGAAGCAGCCGACGCTGTCTGACGACACTGCACTGCGAGTATGCGCATGCGCGATCTGTACGCACTTCGGTATGATGGTATTTGCAGTCAACAGGTGAGGGCAAATAACCAAGCCACCAGCAGAAACAAAAACAAATGACAAAGACAGTAGAGCATGGACTCGGCAGAGTTGATCATCAGAACGTCGAAAATGTTACTTTTCGGTGCAGTTTGTCTAGCCGACAGCTATTCCTGTCATGATTCAT